CTAGAAGCAAGACCAAAGATGAAAAAGCGTTGACTATTTGAAATCACTTGGCCAACTAACAAGCTCCCATGAATAAATTTATAATAACATTTTCTTTTTAACTCTAAAATCACATCCAATTCAGATTGAAACTTTCCATCCATCTTGGCTTTCTCGAGAATGCTGGCCACTTGTCTGAGAATTGTGTATTTGACAACATCAAACAGCACTATTGGTGGAGAGGCATGAAATTAAGCGTAAATAAGTTCATAAACTCTTGCATACAGTGCAAGCTTGCACCCATAGAGTCGAACATGCAGAATTATGGCCATTGCCCATATCAAAGCCTTTTGCAAGGATAGGATTGGACTTTGCTGGACCATTCAGTTTTGAAACCGCATCTGGCAACAGGGTGGCCGTGCTGGCAATGGACTATTTCACCCAAGTGGGTTGAAGGGAGAGCTTTACATACAAAGTCAGTGGAGGCAGCTGTTATTCGAAGAGATAATCCTCAGACATGGCATCCCCATGGAGATACTCACAGATCATGGACCAGAATTTTGTAGCAAAGCTTTCTCTTTGCTTTGTACAGTATGGGCGAAAAACATCAACACACTGCAAGATTTTGACCCTCTACAAACGGGATGATTAAGAGATTCAACAAGACCTTGAAAAAAATGATCGCAGTAAATGCTTTGCTATCCCCCAGGGACTGGGATGCACTACTCCCACAGCTGCTATTTGCATACCGAACATCCAGGCACTAGTCCACAGGATTCTCACCATTTGAGCTACTTTATGGAAGAGCACCAAGGAAATCTCATCATCCCATGCCAGACTTACCAGTACTGGAGGAGAGCCCTGATCTCATAAAGTATGTGGAGGAAATGGTCAGATCCCATAAGAGCAGAGCTGAGCGGGCCAAGACCAATATTTTGTGATCCCAGGAACGCTACTCCAGAAATTTCAACAAGAGGATAACCAAACATCCATTTGCAGTAGGAGACCAGGTGTTCTTAAAAGTCATACAACGTGGAGTGCTGGGTGGGAAAGGCAGAGCAAAGTTCGAAGACCATACACAATCACCCAACAAGTTCATAGATCCAAATTCTGTGTAGCAGCTGGAGGGAGTGAACCACAACAGGTTAGGGAAGTACTGGCATCAGAAATGAGGCATGCAACGCTCAATCTTGACCCTGACACTCAAACTATCACACAAGGTAGGAGACCACTAAGACTGCAAGGAGAAACGCGTGGACACTCCATTTATCCCGCTACAACGGTGATGACAATCTGGTTACTCATAACAACGCTGCCATGTTTGCCCAGGTGAAGAAGATCCTGTCGACTCAGTTCGAGATGAGGCACTAGGGCCAGCAAGATATTTTCTTGGCATGGAGCTCCTCCGTGACCGTGCACAGGGAATTATCTATGTTCATCAGGCCAAGTACATTGGAGACATACTCTCTCGCTTTTGCATGGAGAACTCTCATCCACACCAATGGAGCCTGGTTGTAAATTGACGAAAGAGATGTCTCCGGCAACGGAAGAAGGGAAAGCTGCTATGGCGAAGATTCCCTATCGCAGTGCCGTTGGCAGCTTGCTATATCCGGCAGGGTGTACGAGACCTGATTTGGCGTTTGCCGTGAGCAGAGTTAGCCAATTCTTGGAGAACCCTGGCCCGTCTCACTGGGCTGCGGTTAAACGTATCTTCAGGTATCTTCGAGGCACCACTCAGCTTGGCTTGTGTTACCACGGGGAGCTCAAGCTTCAAGGCTTTTGTGACGCTGATTGGGCAGCAGAGAGCAATACGATCAGGTTACATTTTCAATTTGGGCAGTGCAGCGGTTTCTTGGAGTCCCAAGAAGCAATCGAACTTCGAGCACAGAGGCTGAGTACTTGGCTGCCTCACACGCAGCTAAAGAACTCGTTTGGCTCAGGGCTCTACTTGCGGAGATTGGTATTTGACAGCAAGGTCCAACGAGGCTGTGGTGTGACAACCAGAGCTGCATCGCCCTGGCTGCTAACCCTCGCTACCATTGCCACACCAAGCATTTCGATATTCATCATCACTTTGTTCGTGAGAAGATTGAAGAAGAGATTCTTGAGCTAGCATACTGTGCTACAGGAGACATGGTGGCTGATATCTTCACCAAGCCATTGGCTCGTGATCGTTTTCTTCAGCACCGAGATAGTCTTGGTATACTCATTGACCCAGAGTCGCTCCACGTCATCGCCACGTGGCATCCTAGATCACTCCCCGTGGCAGTTCGTCATGTGTTTGTACACATGATTTGCTATGAAGCTCTTTGCTCATGTGTCTGATCAGAAGGATCAGACACAGCGTTCTACTGCATATTGAGAAGCCTCTTGTTCTCCATTCTTTTTGGCACTATTTAACGGTTGGGGGACCAGCAGGCTATAAAATACTGTGTGTACATGGTCACCTCGCAACACCTGATGAGGCAGTTCCCGGGTAGGGCGAGCACGTTCCCGCCCAGAACGGGCGAGCCGGGCATTAGCCCGGCGAGCGCGTTCTGGAGGGAACGAGCGAGGCCGTGCCCGAGAACAGCCTTAACGGGCTGTGGTGAGACCGTTAACAGACACGTGGAATAACGTTATTGGAGGATGAGAGGGTTCTCCAGAATTGACAGCTGGTAGCCTGGTTCTCCAGAACCTGGCAGCTAGCAGCTAGGTTCTGGAGAACCTGGCAGTTGTCAGCTACGTTCTCGCAGAGAACCTGGCTCAATCCGACAGCTGCCAACGGTTAAATCAATTTAACGGGCGAGCCACAGCCCGTTAAGATCCTTATTCCTGTTCTTGTGCAAGTTAAGACAAGTAAGATGCTTTAATCTCATCTTTTGATGTAATTTTACTTTTTTATTTAATTGTAAGGTACTGTCATTAATGCTTTTTATACCTTTGGATCTGATCAAGCTTTTTGAACACAAGAGTCCACCGACCCCAATGGTGCCAACTCTCTTTGAGAGTTAGCTTGTAATGGGTGTATTAAACTCTTAGTTTCTACAAACTTAATCAATCTGGAGAAACAGCTAAATAACCTTTATTTGAGGGAGGAAGCTTACAGCTTGGTAAAGGTAACATCTTGGCTTTTGTTGATAAAGCTACATTTGTTTTTAAAGAAGTTACATTATATACTTTTTTGGAAAGAGTGTTATCAAGAAGAAATAATAATTTGTACTGCAAATGTTTGCTCATTTGTCTAGACTTGACTATCTCAACTGACCTTTAAAGGTGATGGACAGGAGAGCTTGCAACATTGTTTACTGCTAAGCAATTCTAATGGCTGGTTTGCTTGGGCAGGGAGTGCAATATCACCCAGTTTGGCTAGAGTTTTGTGGAACTCAAATCAGGAAGAGTTCTGATGAGTTGAAAATGAAACTCAACTGGTTTAAGAGAAGTTTGGTGAGTGATGCTTGAACAGCTGGAGACTGCTGCTGGAACTGCAAACAAGAACCCAGAACAAATCTTGGCAGTGTAGCTTGATCCATCTATGGTGATGGACTGACAACTCAAGAAGTACTTCTAGGGTTGAAGAAGCTACTACAGCAGAGAATGTCAAGTCAATTGCCGAATTATTATGTCAAAGTAGTTATCCAAGTAGTGGAGTTTGAGCTTTGTGAGTGCTTTGATGCTGAGGGGCAACAACTGAGGCAAATCACCTTGTGAGGGTTGAAGATGGGTGAGAACAAGGGATGCAGTGAGCCAGACACCATGTCAGAAGAGGACAATTAGTGGAAGCAGGAGGAGAAGAAAAAAAGGCTCTGCTGGAGAAGCTTGTGGCTAAGGGAAGCCCCAGTGCAGTGTCAGTTGCAAAACATCTGCACCACAGATGATAGAAGATGAGCACTGAAGCTTCTTGTGAAGTAAGTTGGCCAAGGTGGATTGATATGCTGTCTTTGAGCATGAGCACCATGTTCAGCTACATACAACGATCGAGACTTGCACCACTGGGAAGAAAAGTGAAACATTATTAAAGTCTAGAGCAAAGCAGTTTGTGCTCGCTCAAGTTGGAGCACATGACCAAGCTGAACCCTGCAATGGTGGTAGGACTCAGAGGTGAATAATTTGGATTTCAGGTGTGATCAGTGGAGATCAATGTCACCACCAAGATTGCTACTTTCTCTTGTTTGGTCTTGAGGCTCACTTGCTTCTGAACTGGTACTTGAAGCCACAAAAGCGGCTTTTCAGGTTTTACAACCACTAAACATTAGAATGACAACATTTGTGGCCAGACAATTTGCTATCTGTTGGCACCAAAGTCCCTGCACTAGGAACCTAAATGGTAGGTTTTGTACAGGTATCTCTAGTTATTTTAGAATGGGGTTTTTTTTTTCTCATGACTGAGAAAAGAATATTCAAGCATATTTTAGGTGTATTCATTACCACCTCACAAGTTTGCTTAAGCAAACAAAAAATATTAATAAATTAAGTTGTTGTATATATTTTATGTAAAAACTTATATATAATTATAACATCAAAGTTTATTCAGGCCCATATTCCATTAGAGGAAGTTATTTGACTTTGGCCAATCAAATGAATTGAGCTTTAATAATCCCTGTTCCATTGTAACCCAAAGGTTCTTTCGTGGCAGTGAAATTAATTGGTAGGAAAACTTTTAATTAATAAAATTTTGTTGAATCATCAAAAGTGGTCTTAAATTTTGCAATGTATTTTACTTCAAAAGTTTCATGACTATGTTTTTGAGTATTACAGTTGAAAAATAGAGGAGAAATCTGAAAAGGATCAAGATATTATAGAATAACCACCACAAGGTATATTTCATCTTCCATTCTAACTTCATTGTAAACAGGTATTCAATCCATTCAATCAATAATACACTAATAAAACAATAAAATTTGTGATTTGACAGAGATTTAAATTTCTGGTGAGATAGATTATTTTAATGCTAAAACTTCAGAATATAAAGAGTTAAAAATTTACACTTAAGAAGTCTGATTCTGGAATATTCACATGAGATCTGAACCGTTGAGTTGCATCATAGCTAGGGTTAGCAGTGGGGATGGCGTCTGGATCTGAGCCCATGCCTGTGGATGGGCCGATTTTCAGCCTTGAAAGGCAAATAGAGGGAGTCGAGAAGCAAATATGTGAGGCTGAGGAGCAGCTGAAGGCAACAAATGATGCTGAGGAGGAGCGGTACTGGCGGAAAAGGGAGAACCACCTGAGGCAAAAGGAGAACCAGCTGAGGCGAAAGGAGAACCAGCTGAGGGAAGAAAAACTTATCTTACTCAAGGGTAGGCATTGGATTTTGGTCTTGACTTGTTCTTCCATCGCTGACAAATTTTGTTTTTGCAGCGCCTTCAGCTCCTACCACTGATTCTGGTAAGATTTACGATGTTCTCTGGTGAACTGACGAAGCGTTACTTGTGTGTTCATTGGTCTCCTTCTATGTGATCAAGCAGATGTGCAAGGTATCTTGGACCATGTATGGAACCAGATACATAGAGCAGATCGAGAACTTCTTGAGCCAAGCGATTTGAAGGCCAGCTATCCAGACGTTTGCAAAGGGACGGTTCCTCAAGCTCCTGGCAGTCGTAAACCTTGCCTTCTCTGGCATTGCCTCGAGGAGGCTTTTCCGGCCTCCAAATACATTCTGGATCAAGTGGATATAGCCCGTCCTGGCCTGGTGGTCCTTTTCGATGTTTCTGGCTCTGGAAAGACTCGAACACTATATGAGATTGCAGTCGACCGTTTGGCTCTGTATTTTGTTGGTGTTCCTATGGGACGGATTGGATCGGAGGGCTCTGCAGACTTGGATGCGCTGGTTAGTCGGCTAATGGTTCTGTATCCAGGAAACCAGTCAATTCCGATGCGCGTGACGCGGTGCTGCTTCAAAGCTGTTCTTCTCAGCAGATTCTTCATCTTAGACAAGTTGAAGGAGGTAGCAGGAAGCATGCCACCTCAGGTTTGGGCCAAGTACTGGTTGTTTAAGCAGGTTGGATTTGCGTTACTACCCTTCAAGAATGACCCGTTCTACGTCCTAAGTGATAGACTACTCGAGTTAGTATCCAGTGACTGTGGGATCGAAGGGGTATTTGATCGTTTGATCGAGACACACAAGAGGGACTGGAGTGGGCCGATTATACTCGACGAATGCCAGGTGGTGCAGGACACCTTGGTGAATAGGTTTGATTCACCTACAGCTGGGTCAAGAACAAGATCTCTATTGGATGTGTTTGTGCCGGTGTTGGTCGATGCTGGGTTTCGCACAAGCACGTTCTACTATTCTGGTACAGGAGGAAATATGGTTTCTGTTGCACACAATATTTCTGCTACACTCAAACAGAGACTTTCAGTTGCAATGTTCTGTCACTTTGGAGGATTTTATGAGGAGGCCGACCTGAAGGATTATGCTAGTCGGATCCTTAAAGATACATCACCAGGTGGATTTTCACAGGGTCTTCCAGCTATACAAGGGGCGGTATAG